GGCCTGAAACACGCGGTGTTCCCCTGGGCAGGCTGGTTCCCGAGCCCTTTGTCCATCAGAGTGGAAGAATGAATCCACAGACAGAAGATGGTATAGCAAAGGTGGAAATTTATTAAAGAACAAGTACAGGCTCCCAGACGGGGAAGGGGAAAGGATCTCACAGCTCAGACTCCCACATGGGGAGGAGGAAAGAGTTCCTTTTTCCCCAGTTTATAAAGGCTGCAGTTCTTGTGCCTCAATATCCCCTCTGATTGGCCACTATTCCCCCTTTGATTTGGTCACTATAGCAACATTTGAGCTCAAAGGTCAAACCTCAGGTGGGACTTGTGGGGCCCTCCTTCTTTATTTTGTAAATATGGACCTTTGGCTACTCCCAGTTCCCTTTCTTATGGAAGTATAATTTCTGCTGACTCCCTGCTTCCTTGTCTTATGGAAATGTAACCTTTGTAGCTCTGTAGCCCTGTTTCTTCCATGGACCCCCCTTAATTAAAAAAATTCCCTAAACCTGCCTTTTTCACCCCTAAAAATTCCTATTTCACAGTGGTGTGAGAAATGATCAGTTCCTGAATGACTGTAGCTCTTTGGGTTTGGAGAGGGGAAGGGACAGGTCTGAGGAAAATGTAAGATGTTCAACTGGCAAGGTAAATGATTTATTAGATATGAGAAGGGAGGAGAGGTAAGGAAACACATTTAACCAGCCCACAGATCTGAAAAGCAGGTTTGGTTAAGCTTAGGTAGGGCCTGCTGCTAGCTATTATTTCTCCACATGAGGCAGGCCTAGTCTTTAGTAGTCAATGTAAGCAAATGAAATCTAGGACAAGAAAGAACTGTATTTGCTTTTGGATAATAAGGCCAAGGGTATTATTAAAACAGATTAAGGTCAAAGACACATTATAAAAAAGTCACATTCTCAGAAGAAAATGAATCTTCAGGGTGGTGAATTATGTAAGATTTTAGGTACATTAGGATTAAACCAACATCTAAACTATGGCCTCCTTCCCCATTCTATCAAATGGCCCACAACTCCATTTGCACAAGGGTCAGCAAAAACCGAGTTGAAAGGAAATCTTTTAACAGTCTGGGAATGATGACAAAGGAAAAATTTGCAAGACTGGATTGGAGAGCTGGGCCTACATTGTTCTGTGGAGGGGAGGTGGGGTTTGAGGAAGATGGGGGCTGGGGCATGGAAAGGCTTGAAGGAGAGGATCTCAGCCAAAGGACGATGACCATCTTTTTGGAAAACTGTAGTAACTGTTTAGGATACCCAATGAAAACTTAAGCAATGAGGTTGTGTCCTTCTGGCAGTTTAAGAGTGAAAATTAGCCAAGCAAAAGGCAGAAATCTCATTGTCCTTGTTACTCCATATGGCTTTGGGATTCTTCTCTGCTCCCCACTCCTCTTCCCCTCCCCTATCCCCCGCCACCCCCCCCCCCCAAGAGTTTCTGGGTTTGGGAATGGCTGTGGCAGTGGGGTTAGGGTTAAGAATAATCTCATTCCTTGACCAATGGATGCACAGCGGCTTGGTTGTGGCAGAATGCATGGCAGAACAATCAGCCAGCACTCTGAGGGAGGAAAGTTTAACCTTTATTTCTCAGATCTGCTAGTCCAGGGGAATTCCAGATCCCAAGTCTGAACTGAACTCATGGGGAAGCTCTGACCTATATATCTCCTCCTGTGGCAGGACCCTGAGGGTCCCCCCAGCTCTGCCCAAGTCAGCGGGGCCTTGGGGTCATGCTCCACAGCTCCGCAGCTCTGCCCTTGTCAGCTGTGGCAGGGCCCTGGGGTTAGGTTCTGCGGCTCCACCCAAGTCAGTCAGAGTGGGGAAGTAAGACTACAGTTTTAACCAGATACTGAACTAGGTTGCAAGCCCCCCCCCCCCCCCCCCATTTTCCTTTTCAGCTTATGGCCCTACTATGGACAACAGGACATTGTGAAGGCATCAAATGGCAGACAAGTCCCAGGTGGGAGCTATGGTAAGGCGGAATCCCCTCCTTTTCTCTGTTTCTGAGATCAACTAGAGACATTAAGAGGACACAAAGGGGATGTACAGTTTCTGAGGTGGAAGGGGGTGAGGGCTGCCACACTCAGGAGTCATTGTTTGCTGATGAGTCTCAGAGATTCAGACTGAGGTTTCCATTTTTCATGGTGGGTAACTGTATATATTTCAATATTGCGTATGTTCAGGTGCTATTGATGAGGCAGAAAAAGAAAAAAATGTGTTGTGTTGTGCTAGAGTGCTCTGAGACTTGATAGTCAGATTTCTTAAATTTTGGAGGCCAGAACCTGGGAGAAGCTGCTATTCTAAAGCAGGTTGTAGTTTTCTGATTTTTAAAAATCCTAACCTGAGGATATATTTTTTTAAAATTGATTTTTAGGGAGAGGAAGGAGGAGAATGAAAGAGAAACATCGACTGAAGCTCAATCTGAATATTCCCTGTAAGTAAAGTTCCAGCCAAATAGATCTGAAAGAGTCTATATAATCCATTACCAATTCTCTGTTGATTCCTCCGAATTATCAAGACCAAATGAAAACAAATCGTGGAAAAATACTCCTTTGATAAAAATGGAGGGAAATTTT